AGACAGATTAGTCTTGTAAACAGGTTAAAAGACATGAGTAAAATCCTCACAATTTGGGATACCTTGGTAGGGCACTTTCCAGATGAGTCAGTAAAGATAGCAGCAAATAATTAAGGAATCCTTCAGGAAAATAAATCATCTAAGACAGTGGTTCTCAAACTTTAGTGGTCATCACGTTCAGCTGGGGAACTTGGTAAAAATGTAAATGAAAAAATGAAAGTAAGCTTTATCCTGCTTTAATGGGCTAATACATTCTTTTTTTTTTTTTTTCCCATTTATTTATTTTATTGTATTTTAGGTTTTGGGGTACATGTGAAGAACATGCAAAATTGTTGCATAGGAACACACATGGCAGTGTGATTTGCTGCCTTCCTCCCCATCACCTACATGTGGCATTTCTCCCCCTGCTATCCCCCCCCAGCTCCCCACCCCCCACCGTCCCTCCCCTATGTCCCCCCAACTGACCCCAGTGTGTAGTGCTCCCCTCCCTTTGTCCATGTGCTCTCATCGTTCAACACCCGCCTAATACATTCTTTAACAGTTCTGGTGATTCTGATACCTAAGAAATCTTGGCTCTTTCCATATCAAGTCTGATCCTTTGAAAAACACATAGCTTGGATCTTATAGTAATTTTCTGGGTTTAAAAGTGACACAGCTCTCTTTTATGCTCCATGTAACTACTTCTTAACTAATACTCACTTATCCTAAAATTTCCCAGCTTTAAATCTTACATCATCAAACTATATTATCAATTATCTCTACTTGTTGCAGTTATTTTCTGAGACTGAGACTGGGTCATTCTTTCTTTGAAGATTTTTGGCACAATGTTATTTTCTCCCCCCCCCCAAAACACACACACACACACACACACACACACACACACACACCCCAAAAAACAAAAAAACCCTCTTGACATGATTTTTGATGATTTTAGTGTCTATACAGATGCTGTTTTAATAATTTGATATGGCAGAAGGCGTTATCCAAAGATGGCCATAGCAATATTTTCCGTCTTCTATGCTCTTTTGCATTGTGAACTTCTTGCCATTTCTGCATCAATAAAGTCCAATCCCCTTTCTCTTGAATCTGAGTTAGACTTAGGAATTCCTTGAAATAGCATTCGCCAGAAGAAACATTCTGGAGCCTCTGAAGTTAGGTCATAATAGTCTTTGCAGTTTCCAACCCAGTCTCTTAAAATGCTTAATCTTAGTAGGCTCCCTTTGAAACCAAACTACTATCCTACGAGTGTCCTAAGCAATATGGAGAAGTCATATTTAAATATTCTAGTGAGTAGCCCCAGTGGATATCCCAGCCAACAGCCAACAACTGTTAGCTATGTCAGTAAGCCATCTTGGACATTCAGTCCAATTAAGATATCAGACATCTGGAGCAATAACATGAAAAATTGAAAAGTATCTTAATAAACAGATGTATTTGGCTAAGGAGATTTCAAAGCAAAGTACTGGAAGTACCAACACAATTTTTATGCTACATATGATAATGCACGTAAAAAGAAATATAAAGTAAAAATGAAATTGTTTAATGTTCAAACAACATTCAGAGTAAATACAAAGGTGTCATATCTGGCTAGGTTCAAAGAAGAAATTAACTCTCTCCACCACCGGCTTCTCCAATGACAAAATATTCTCACAGTGAAAAATGGTCCCAGGGTGTAGTATCATCTCCAGGAAAAGGCTGTAAGATCTTTTGCTAACAATAGAGAAATACAGGTTTTCAATTAGACAAAGAAGCTTCTAAGAATCTTTAGAACATTTTTTCAGAGTACTGTAACTGTCAGATAAAATCAGAAAGATAAAAATCTGAAAGGTATTTGTGGGTATGACTTTTGTCTAATAGAGTAAACTCTAAAATTTTTGTAGCAAGCTCAGTTTTTAAGAAAAATGTACAGATATAAGTACCATGAACCTTGGCGGAAAAGGCCATAACCATTGCAAAATAAAAGAAGTCTTTAGGTTTTTAACTTTATTAAGCAGGAAGAAGTTTGAGAAAGCTACTCATATGTAAATATAGGTCATTTTTTTGCTACAAAAATAAGATGACGTAGAATATAGAGTCAATTTCCCTGTGGTTGTAACCAAGCCATGGAGAATTATTCTCAGGGAGCAGGATTGGGTCCTTATTAGGAAACTGGTAATATATTTCTGGCTGTACTTTAGAATTACAATATACAAGTGGGAGTTACATAACTTTTCCACTATTTCACATACAAGTATCCATTGCAGTTGTTCTATCTCTGTATCACAATTGTATATTGGCTGTGTAGGATGCAGATAACTCATTTAATTTACTTCACAGATCTCCAAACCGAAAGAAGCTGTACTCATGGTGCTGTATAAAAGGAATGGAATCCAAAGGGTCTTCTTCATACTTTATCCTGATTTTGAGGCTGAGATTCTGGGCTTCAAATTGATCCCATAATGAGAAGGAGACTTTGGGATCTTCAAGAAGAGACAAATGTATTTTGCATATATGAGGATATGTGTATTGTGAATGTTGTAGGTTTTATTTTTCAAAGATGGCAAAACAATATTTTGCATCGCATTCACTTTTCTGCAATATTACCTCACCATTCTTCTAATAGGTAAAGTCTAATTTCTTTCCCTATTTTTCTTGTCTGCCCTTAGCAATGTTTTTTAAAAATAGATGTGACATTTGGGGATATTTGAGGCAAGATTATAAGAAATCTTACAGCTTTGTCATTGGTGTTTTTGAATATGTACTTTTTGGGCACTATAGAACACAACCAACACGCTGTGATAATCTAAAGTCATATGGAGAGGTCATGTGGTTGACAGCTTTGGCTGAGCTCCTAGTTAAGAGCACCAGTGCTAAGCTTGACTAGTTCTTCTGATTATAGCCACATAAGAGAGATATCCCAAGTGAGAAATGCCCAAATGACCTCAGAAAAACCTATAGCATCATAAGGGATAATAATAAATTGTTTTAAAACCATTGTTTGGGAGTGGTTTGTTATGCAACAATAGTTGACTAGAATAATTTAATTCTTAGTACACTGATCTTTCTTCCAAAGATCTTCACCACTGTGCCCCATCTACTTAATTCCTTGGAAATATTTCTGGAGTGCAAAGGATTGCTGAAGATGCCCCAAGGAATGTCTACAGCAAAGCAATTGGCCTGGGATGAAGGTGAGAGACTAAAAGTTAGAAAAGGCCAGAGATAGAATATGAGGCTGCTAACACTATTTTGCCAGTGTATCCATCAACAGAAGTTATACCTCTGATGCTTTAATTGGCATAATTACGCCAGCCACACAATAAACATCTCCCTGGCTCCCATACCTACACATGCTTGGGAATGAGGGCCTTTAGGATGCCCAAATGGTTAGTTCCCAGTCTAGTGACAGATTCAACTTTTTTTAAAAAATAAATTTTATTGTGTATATTTAAGATATACAACACGATGTTATAAGATACCTATATCTCTAGTATAAACATGTTCCACTATTGTGGAACACATTAACATATTCATTGTCTCACATAGTTACCCATTTTCCCCTTGCAGCAAAAGCAGCTACAATCTACTCATTCAACAAAAATCCTTGATACAATATACTGTTATTAATGATATTGCCCATGTTGCGTATTAGGTATTTTAACTTGTTCATTCTACATGTTTGCTATTTTGTATCTAATATCTCTATTTCCTCTCTGTGGCCCTAACCCTGGTGATCATTTTATCCTCTGTACGTTTTAAACATCCCCTGTTTCCAAATTTCACATGTAAGTTAGATCATGTGGTATTTGTCTCTCTGGGATGGGCTTATTTAATTTAGTATAATCTTCTCCAGGTCTATGTATATTATGTCAAATGACAGATTATCCTTCTTTTTTAAGCCTGAATAATATTTCATTGTACATATACACCACGGTTTATTTATTCATCCATTGATTCAGTTTTAACTTCACCCTCTCTCTCCTCAAACTCCTCCAAGATTGGCAAAGACTGGAACATTTCCTGAATTCCTCAGATTAATTATCTTCATCTCTTGGGAGCTCAGGCAACCTCCAGGGTCAGTTTTACACATAATAATAGTTGTGCCTTGTGTGTTGGGGAGTGGAAGGTTGGGGTTGGCAGAAATAAGCAAAGAGCTAATGCTGGGCACCCTGAGGACCTTTACTTAAGTTACTTAAAAGGCCACACCATTTATTTTGGACACCCAGAAGTGAAGTGTGGAGAGATGCAGGGCCATGAGTGTGCTCTCCAAGAGCCATATGGGTGTTTGGTAAGGTATACCTACATACATATGTACACACTCACACATACATTTGCAGAAGGTGTCTGGACCAGCTGCCTACCCTCTCACTGCCTCCCTTTCAGGTAAGTGGTTCTAGATAAGGGCAGGCTTTATATTCACATTCTGGTGAATTTCAGCTGTCCAGCATCCCACTGCCTACTTCATTCTTCATTGTCAATGCACCATTCTCATCAATAATGTTCCCACTCCCTCATATCCTGTATCTGCTGAAAATGTGGATTCCTTAATTTTTGGATGCAGAATTCTATCATACGCGTTTAAGTTATCTTAATTTAAAAAAATCAGTTTTGTTGAATACATTTCATCTTTTGGTTTCTGAGAGGGCTATATTGCATTTTGTCAGCTTCTCTTTCTATTCCATGCATTTTTGTTGCACATATCTCAAGTTCTATTCTTTATGTTGATACATGTTTATTTCTTAATATTGAAATATATTTAATGAGATATTTATTTAATAAGAACCATTTTGTTTTTAATAAAAGCATTTAGCATAGAATATATCCTCTTGAATATTAATGCAGTTATACCTCATTATTGCTACTGTACTGTTACAACTGTACTTTATGATATATAATATCATGATTTCAGAGTCATTTTTGCGTATAACATTTCAATCTTTGTTTTCCATTTTGAAGCTCTTTTAAAATTGAAACTCATGTCGCCTCTTTATTGTTCTCCATAGATACTTCAGCAGGGTGCCACCATGACTGCTTGCAATGCCTCACAGGGCCATCCTTCTTTCTTCATTCTCCAAGGCATTCCTGGCATGGAGGACAAACACAAATGGATAGCTATCCCCTTCTCCTCCATGTATTTCATTACTGTGCTTGGGAACTGCACCATTCTCCTCACCATTTCCACAGAGCGCTCCCTGCACAAACCCATGTTTCTGCTCCTCTGCCTGTTGGCCCTCACAGACCTGGGCATGTCTACAACCACCATTCCCAAGGTGCTGTGCGTTTTCTGGTTTGGCCAGAGTGAGATCAGCTATGAAGGCTGCCTGGTTCAGCTGTTCTTCATCCACTCCATCTCGGCCATGCAGTCAGCTGTCCTGATGACCATGGCCTTTGACCGCTACGTGGCCATCTGCAAGCCCTTGCACTATGCCACTATCCTTTCCAATAGCCGCATTGGACTCATTGGTCTAGTGAGTTTGGTGAGAGCTATCCTCTTTATTCTCCCCATGCCCATCCTCCTTCAGCAAATGCCCTATCATGCCAATCATGTCATCCCCACCACCTACTGTGAGCACATGGCTGTGGTGAAGATGGTTTGTGTAGATACAACACTCAACAGGATTTATGGCCTGGTGGTGGCCTTGTTGGTTGCTGGGTTAGACCTCTCAGCTATTGCTTCATCTTACGTGCTCATCATCCAGGCTATACTGCGTCTCTCTGCTAAGGAAGCCCACCACAAAGCAGTCAACACCTGCACCACACACATCTGTGTCATGCTTATTTCTTATACTCCCTCACTTTTCTCTTTTCTCACTCACCGCTTTGGCAGAGGCATTCCACCCCATGTCCATACCATTCTTGGCAACCTCTACTTCCTTGTACCTCCAATGCTCAATTCTATAATTTATGGAGTGAAAACGAAGGAGTTCCATGACAAAGTGACCAAATATGGTTGCTGGAGAAAAGAACCCGCAACCACTGCCCATGGTCAGAAACTTGTCTGCTAATCCAGCATCTGTGAGTTTGAGGAAGGAATGTTAAGTAGATGCAGTTCCTGAGGAAATCAACTAGTGATAGAAATGTGTTATATTGTCAGATTTAGCTGCCAAGATGTTTGTCGTTGGTCAGAGAGGCTAAGGCATAGGAGACGTTTTGGCCTCAGTAACTCCAAAGCAAGGAAATTATCCCCACTGTGAAATGAAAATAATGACATTTGCTCTCTATACCTGACACAGGCATTGGACCAATTACATGTTATAATGTCTATAAAAGCACTTTGAACAACACACACACACTGAACACATGTAAAATGAGGTAGAATGTTTCCATGCGGTGAGAACATATGAGCAACCAGTAACTTGCCCACCTTCAAATCAATGAGTTGTAGAATGCTACTTACTTTGCCAAGATAAGGCTGAGTTGTGTATGTAGGGGTGTGTGTGTGTGTGTGTGTGTGTGTGTGTGTCTGTGTGTGTTCAAGGAGAAGGTAAAATGGAGAAGATTGTTTAGGGGGAGTGAAAAGGGATAATGAAAGTGCAAAATTGAATTTAGTCACTATGTTATCCTTACTGCAGAAACCTTACGCTTGAGCAGCAGAACTGGTTGCTTCCTTATAAGCCTAGGGAATATGTACAGAAAACATAATCTGAAATTCCCAGAGAAATTTCAAAGGAAAAGGGGAAAATGGGAAACTCTTACTCTTAAAAAGTGGATATGCATTCTTACAAATTTTTATTTGTAACAGCTCCTAGAGGCAACTGTTCTGTTTGTCTCAACTAATTCCAGCATACGACAAGAATCTCTAGCAAAGAGAAAATTCTGAGAATGTTCTTTAAAGAGTCATAGTTATAAAAATCAGTTTTATATTGGAAATCTTGGTTATATAACTCTGCCAGGCCATTTCTCTGTAAATCCAGGAAGAAATCATAAACAAGCACTTGGGGTGGCGTGTAGAGTTCAGATCATGTGCCACGATACGTGAGCACATTAAGTTCAGGAGATATTGTTCATCACTTCTAGACATTGATTTGGGGTATAGTGTTAAACATTTTAAGACACATAAAGTTTGTGGCCCAAAATATTTTAGGGGTTGTCCTCACATTGTACAGCTAATATATAAAGGCAGAATTCAATGAAAAAGATACCTACTTTAAAAGCCACATGACCACTACTTAAATGAAACTCTTAAAATGGCAGGAAAATAAACGAAACTTCTCCAGAATGTTCTTCTAGTTATACTAATAATTAAGGCTTCAAATAAACAAAAAAAATTAATAGCGTAAGCTGAGAAAGGTGGGATATTTCAGATATTTCAGCTTGAAATAAAAGGTCCAACTTTCAAGAGGGGAAAAAAAAGAGAACTGACTAGGAAGCGCCTTTTCTATAAATGCAAGACCAGAGATCAAGGAAAATTTGCAGGAGCATTAATGGCTGAAGAACAGAGTACTGCTTATCTGAAATAAGTATTAAGTAGATATTTAAGCCATCACAAACCTACAAAGAAAAAAAAGTCATCAGCAAAATATTATAGTTAAGAATTTAAAGCAGCCTGAGGGAATCTTACCTTGACACTTGTGGCAGCACTGAACTTCCTTTTTGCTAAAATCTTAGAGTGAATTTGTTTGTTTGTTTACTCTGGTTGAAATAGGATTGAGGGACAAAAGCAGAGTTCAAATGCTATATGATATTATGGTATCTCTCTCTCTCTCTCTCTTTCTTTTCCTTCCTTCCTTCCTTCCTTCCCTTTCTTTCTTTCTTCCTTCCTTTTTTCCTTCCTTCCTTCTTTCCTTTCTTTCTTTCTTTCTTCTTTCTTTCTTTCTTTCTTTTTTCTTTCTTTCTTTCTTTCTTTCTTTCTTTCTCTCTCTTTCTTCTTTCTTTCTTTCTTTCTTTCTTTCTTTCTTTCTTTCTTTCTTTCTTCTTTCTTTCTTTCTTCCTTTCTTTCTTTGTTTCTTTCCTGATAGTTTTTATAAAAATTATGTCACTATTCAACCCAATCCAACATGTATCTGTTCATACCTATTTCTTATGTAAACAAAAATCTTCAAGTATTGTCACTATAAAATGGAAATATGTTTACACATTGTATTTTGAAATTTATTGTATAACCTAGCATTGTTTGGCATCAACCCATGATGGTATATATAAATTTACAGCTCTTTAAAAATTATCTTATAGTATTTTTTAACCAATCCTGTATTAGTAGACATGTGCATTGACTCCATTTCTTCATTTGTATAAACAATACCATGACTATAGAGCAGGGATTAGAAAACTGTGATATGTGATTTAAGTTTGGTCTGCTGCCTGTTTTTATAAATAAAGTTTTATTGGAATACAGTCAGACTCATTTACTTACATTATAATTTATGGCTGCTTTTGCACTAGAGTGGAAATGCTGATTAGTTGTAACAAAAACCATATCACCTGCAAAGCAAAACATGTTTACTCTCTGAAACTTCACAGAAAAATTAAAGGAGTAAAGGAGCCAGAGACGAAGAGAGTGTGGGGAATAATTACTCATAGTACCCTCTTCTCTTGCCCTCCAAATTCCTTTTAGTGTCCTGTGATGGTCATATGAATGTGTTACAGAGGCTTCCTACTACATGGAGCCTAATTGACTGAAGGGCCTAACTCCTGCAATTTGAAATCTATCATTGAATTTGAACCCAGGTGATGCCTCCCATTGGCTACTCTCCACTATGACTGAGTGTGGTGAGGATGCTGAAGGAAACCCATTACTGGGGAATGTGGGACATGTTGGTAGGCTCCTTGGTAAGCTGACTTCTGCTTTGCATCACAGTCTAAGATACTTTGACCAAAACTTCTCTTTCTTTCTTTTTAACTTGGGATTGAACTTACATTGTGATGTGACTGCTGTCCCAATCTATGATGATTTGCTTCCTTATTTTCTTTCACATGGTGTTTCTTTGACTAAAATTCTTATATGGTAAATCCCATCTTAGCATCTGCTTTGCTCAAGGGTCATAGTAATGCTAGTAACACTGAGAGTGGTACAAGTAGATAAGAAACTGGGACTTTCTGTCTGGCAGGCAGAGGATGCTCTCTTGATTGGCAGGTGGGGCACGATAGTACCTGAGAAGAGGTGGTAGTTCAGTTGTTATTTCGCCAGTGGAAGTAAAGGTGGTAAGTGCGATGATATATCCATTTGAAATATATGGAGGAAGAATTGCCTACAAAAATAATAGAGTTTACTGATTACTGGTGACTTATTTTGATGTTGTTTCGAAAGATGAGAGTCTCAGAGCCACTAATAATAGCTCATTGTAAGAACCAGAAAGCCTCAGTGGTGGTAGTTTATGAAGAGGCTTTTTATCACCTATAGTGGAAGGGCATACACAGTCAATGGCAGGCTGAAGACTTGCTTGGGAGACTCACAGGGGTCCAGTGAAGTCTAAACATTCAACTAAAGTGGTTCTATTACATGTAGGTCAATATGTTGGTAAAGAAAAGCTAGAATTTTGAAAACTGGGACAGAATCATTATTATCCAAATGGGGGCTTCTGAAGACTTATACTCAATAATGTTTGTTGGACCTTCTAGACATGCAGAGATCTCTGCAGCAGTCTGTTATTACTTCTGTACTAGATGATGCTATAGAAACTTATGCTCCAAAAGACAACAGGCACTTACTCACAAGGTGCTTCCTCCCCTTCTCCTGGCTGCCAGGCTTATAACTAAGGCTTCATTACTGCATAATGCAGCTAGGTACACTCTAGATCTCATCAGAGAATAAAAGAGCTGTATATCTAAAGAATTACAAGAACTAGCTGGCATGTATTGGCAGGAGCCAAAGGCAACCCTTGGGTTTGGATTTTGAAGATGCTTGATTGAAAGTGCTAGAACATAAAGGCTAGATGAGCAAAAATTAACTTACCTTCTCAGAAACAGAATGCTAAAACTTAGTGTCATCATTAAAGACTTGAAAGATGCCAAGGTTGTGGTGCCTATCACATATCTGTTTAATTCTGGTCCATGCAGAATGTAGATGAATCCTGATGAATAACTATGGACTATTTTATACTTACATAGAAACTCTGATTGCATCTATTGTGCTGGATATGGTATCACAGATAGATCAGCATACTTAAGGCCTGATGTACATAGGATGTAGTCATTGACTTGTATAATGTATTTTTCCTAATAATAGCTAATTGTAAGAACCAGACAGCCTCAGTAATGGTAGTATATAAAGTAATGGCAGTATATGAAGAGGATTTTATCACCTATAGTGGAAGGGTGAGTTAGAAAATTGAATTAGAAAAGTGAATCACAAACAGCATTCACATGGAGAAGCAATATTCATTTATAGTTCTGTTTCAAGACTATGTTAACTCTCCCGCCCTATATTATGACAGAGTCCACAGAGATCTAGACTTCTTGACATCCCACAAAATATCACGCTGATCCATAACGTTGACAATATCATGTCGAATAGTTGGCAAGATGAGCGATATTGTCTAAATATTATTATAGGACTTTCTCAAATACAAGCACTACAGAGGTAGGAGACAAATCCTATGAAGATGCAAGAACTTGCCAATTTAGTAAAGTTTTTCAGGGTACAGAGATCAGGGAAATACCAAGATATCCCCTCAAAAGCAAAAGTCAAATTGATATATTTTGCATACTCTCCTCCAACTCCATGAGGAAAGAAACACAGAGATTAAAAATATCCTTTAGAATCTGGGTGACACATCCCACATGTAAAAATATTGCTTAAGTTCAAATACTGGGTGATGTAGGAGGCTGTAACTTTAACTGGAGGCCGGGAGCAGCAGGCTCAGGCCATTGTGCAAGCATCTCTGCTGCTTGGGCCACATGATCTGGAAAACCTGTTATTGGGTATCAGTCGTGGGACAAGATGCAGGATGGAACTAATGTCAAGTTCCAGTAGGAGTATCACAATGAAGAATCATGGGATTTGGGAGTAAGGCCATACCAACTGCAGCAGAGGCTTTCTTGCCTTTTGATAAACAGCTTTTAGTGTATTATTGAGCCTTGGAAGAGATAAAACATTTGAACACAGACACTTCGGTAACCAGATTCCATGATGTCACCCAGTGACTCACGTTTCCTGGTACACAAGGCCTTTTTAGTCCTGTTACACATTGTGTCAGGGTTATTCTGCATGGTCAATAGAAAATGGCAGATGTGACAGTAGATTGTAACAGAGGCTAGGTCATAAAACGTTTTGAATCTTTTTCTCTCTTCCTGGTTTACTAACTCTTGGGGAAATCAGCTTCCATGGGCATACTCTAGTAGCCTCATGGAGAGATTTATGTGGTAAGAAATTAAGGCCTCCAGTCAACAGTCATGTAGGTATATATTCCAGCTAATGTTTTGTATTTTTAGTGGAGACGGGATTTAACTGTGTTAGCCAGGGTGATATCGAGCTCCTGAACTTGTGATCCACCCACCTCAGCCTCCCAAAGTGTTGGGATTACAGGCATGAGCCACAGCACCCGGCCACTCCACAACGTTTTTATTTTATATTCTCAGTTGTCTTTAAAAAGACAATATAAGCATAACAGAATGGAAAGATGTCTTATGATTAGATATATTAGGGTTAGAGTCCAGGCTAACTACTCACTACCAGTAAGTGTAACTTATGTAAAGAAATTGAGCCTTTGTAACTTAATCTGCAAAATGGATATTATTATATAAGTTGAGTTAAATTTAAAATAATTCAATGAGATATTATATGTATAAATACCTAGAATAACTATCATGGAGCCACCTAAAGAGATGGTATTTTTGCTGGAATTAATAGAATGTGAGGAAGATAATGTGGAACGCTTTATTTGTTCCTTTTCTAGGACAGAAATACCCCAACCTTAGCAGTTACCCTGAATTTTCTTAGAGTTTCCTATCACCCAGTATCTTCACTTGCTTTCCAATATTTGAATGCTATAATTCTTCTTCATCATTGGGATTATATTTTAATGAGAGCAGACTATTTAACACTTTATTTCTTTAGTTTTCTCTGAACTTTGCCATGCTAATCATGAAGGTGTTAGACATAAATCCTCTCTCAGTCTCCAACCTTCAGTGGGAGATCTGGCTTATGAAGAACAAAAAGGTACAAAGAGTCTAACATAAAATAATGATCTGACTATATTATTCCATTCTCCCACTGCTATAAATGACTATCTGAGACTGGGTAATATATGAAGAAAAGAGGTTTAATTGGCTCATGGTTCTGCAGACTGTACAGAAAGCATGACTAGGAGGCCTCAGAACACTTGCAATTATGGCAGAAGGTGAAAGGAAAGCGAGCATGTCTTACCATGGCAGAGCAGAGAGACAGAGACAGTAAAAGGGGAAGTGCTACACACTCTCAAACAACCAGATCTTATGAGAACTTCATCACAAGAACAGCAAAGAGGAAATCTGCTGAAATGATCTGATCACCTCCCACCAGGTCTCTCCCCCAATATTGGGAATTATAATTCGACATGAGATTTGAGTGGGGACACAGAGCCCAGCTGTATTCTGGCTTTACCTCTTTTCCTCCTCCTATGCCAACCTTTTCCCAACACAGCCTCCATAGAAACACTTTCATAGTTAAGAGTAGACTGGGCCATTTCTTGTCTAAGAGAATTAACAACAGGACTTGCTGGCTACAATTTTGTTACTCTCTTATATAGATAATATGATGTTTTCCTGCTTGTAGGCATCATCCTACTTATCTTCCTAGGCAAGACTGGGGAAGCCCAACAGAAAGGAGTGATCAGTAGAGAGCACCCTTTCTGTTCTAGATCACAGGAATTAAAGACGTTCTTAGAATTTATAGATTGTTTAGCTCACCACAGTAGAGAGGGGGTAAGAATTCCTTAGAAGTCATGGCTACAGATAAAGAGTATATATGACACTTATTCTCCATGTCAATATCTTTTGAAGAATCTCAAACTCAGTGATTTATATTGAAAAGGAGTTTAGAAATACTGGGTCCTTTCTCCTGATTCTAAACTCAGTAATCACATATGTTTAGATTGTGCTAAAGCTGTGATAATACTATGTCTCAGTAGTTCTTGTATTCCACAGTTTCAATTTAATGTTTATTAATTTTAACTTTTATCTGATTAAATACCTGTATTTATCTGATTAAATATCTGTATTTGTCTTATTATGTTGTACAATTGATCCAATGATAACTATGTATTTAAATGATTAGATAGAAATTTCACTCATTACAATGATTCAATACATATCAACAAAGCAATGCTTCATCAAAACATTATGTTAGTCTTTGTACATGACTTGAGTCACTGTGGAATATCACTTCAAGAACAGGTGGCTTCATGTTCACATATGGTTTTTTAAAGATGAAGTTCCTGGTCATTGAAGTCTTTTGAATCAGGTATACAAATACATGTTTTCCTTTGCAATAAAACTTTTTGAAATACGTATCTCAGCAGTCCCTGAATTCAGTCTACATGTATCATCCTCAAATTCCTTCATTGTTGTCATCACATCCCTATCATCACTATCATCTGGTCAGTACTGTGAACATATCACATTGTTATTTCATTTAAAATATTCTTGATGAAAAGAGCAATTGCCTGAAGAGTTATTACATGTTAAGGTGGTGTACTAAGATAATAAGTATACCACATTCCTTTCAGCAAAAGGTACTAGTTAGAAACAAACACAGGTAATTTGAGAAATAGAAAATAGAAAGAAAACTGAAGCAAATCTAAAGTCTCCATCAAGGCAAGAAAACATGGACTTGAATCATTGAAGAGCAATATTGTATGTAGTTGATAAACCTGAACACAGATGTGAATGTCATCAGGAGACCCATGCCATCAGAGTGTCCCTGGTAAACAGGTATATGAAGAGATAGCTTAGACACTCCTTTCTGTACTCCATAACTCAATGAAAGTACAAACATACTGGTCCTTCTTGTAAACTCCACCTGCCCCCCCCAAAAAAAAGAAAAATAAAAATAAAATCACTTATTCATGGTTTATTTTTTCCACAACTGATACAGAGATGCAACTGGGTATTGGATGGTTGAGCAAAAGCATTATCAATTAACCTTATTATTCATTTACTTGCAGGTTTATTGCTGGGACTCACATTCTGTGCAATTCCTCTGCACAGGCATTTGGTCACCTTGCCCCGTATTTCCTTCATTTTTATACCATAGATGATGGGGTTAAGCATTGAGGGCAGGAGAAGGTAGAGATTGGCAAGGAGAACATGTGTATGAGGTGGGATATTGTGACCGATGCGGTGGGTAATAGAGGAAAAGAGTGCAGGCACATAAGTGGCAAGGATGACAAAGAGGTGTGCTGAGCAGGTGTTGAGGGCTTTGCAGGTGGCATCTCGAGAGCTGAGGCGTACTACAGCCTGAAGGATAAGGACGTAAGAGAAGCCAATGAGTAGCAGATCAAGTCCCACAACAAGCAGGATCACAAAGAGCCCATAGATGTAATTGGGCCTGGTGTGGTTACAGGCCATCTTCACCACAGCCATGTGATCACAGTAGGTATGAGGAATGGCCATGTGGCAGAAGGTTAAACTTTGAAGTAGAAGAGGCATGGGCAAGACAAGGATCACACCCTTGGCAAGAGCCAGCAGTCCCAGGCGTCCAATTAAAGAATGGCTCAGAATTATGTTGTAGCGTAAGGGCTCACATATGGCAACAAAGCGGTTGAAAGCCATTGAAACAAGGAGGGCTGATCGTGTCACAGATGATCCATGGATGAAAAACATCTGAGTGAAACAGGCATTGGCAGCTATGTCCCCATCATTGAACCAGAAGAGGCAGAGGAGCTTGGGCACCATAGCCAGAGTGGATATGAGGTCAGCCACCATCAGTAGGGCCAGAAGCAGGTACATTTGTGAATGAAGTGTGGGCTCTGTGGCCACCAGGAAAAGGATAGAACCATTGCCAATGAGGATAGTCAAAAACATGGAGAAGAAAGGAACAGATAACCACAAGTGCTGTGACTCTAAGCCAGGTATGCCCATCAGCGTGAAGGTCACGAAGCTGGAATGGTTGAGGATTAGCATGGTAGAAAATAGTTGGTGGTTGTTAAAAAAAAGTTTAGACACCTGTCAATGAGACATGGCTGGTGCGTTGTTTTTACTGGGTTTGGGTTCTAAAGACTTGCTGAGATGGAGCCTAGAGAAAGATGGCAGAATGCATCTTTGGGATCATGAAATTCACAATCTCCTTTCAAGTCTATCTCTAAGCACCTATATTGCTTTCACAATAATTTTATTATGGGGCTTTGGCTTCTTTTCTTTATAAATGATATTGTAGTGAACATTTATTCTTACCTTTTCCAGTTCAGCAATTCCACATTTTAAGAAGTCTGACTAAATAGGATAAAATTTTACCTTTGATAGAAAGATGGAAAAACTTGATAGAAGGGCTGTAATTTTCTCCTTGGGAAGCTTCAAAAATATATAAAAATGGAGGAAATATACTTCTCCCCACCTTGTTCCAGGAGTGCTGAGCTGTTGGAAGAACTGAGTTCCTTTGATTTCATGTTTTGCCTCTCTTTTAGAGATCCACGTTTAGGTGGTGATTCCTTCTCTCCCCTTGGGGCTTTCTGGATTTGAGGGGACAAAATATGAAAAATATCTGCATTCCCATGTTTATTGTAGCACTATTCACAACAGCTAAGATTTGGAAGCAACTCAAGTGTCTATCAGCAGATGAACAGATAAAGAAAATGTGGTGCATATAGAGTGGAGTATTACTGAGCCATAAAAAAGAATGAGATCCAGTCATTAGCAACAATATATATGGAGCTGGAGGTTATCATGTTAAGTGAAATAAGTCAGACAGAGAAATACTAACATTGCATGTTCCCACTTACCTGTGGAAGCTAAAAATTAAAACAATTGAACTTATGGAGATAGAAAGAAGAAGTATGGTTATTTGAGGGTGGGAAGCGTAGTTGGGAAGGAAAGGTATGGTTAATGGGTACAAAAATAGGAAGAATATATAAGACCTAGAACTTGCTTGCACAACACTGTGGCTATAGTAAAAAAAAAAACAATTTAATTGTATGTTTTAAAATAACTAAAACAGTGTAATTTGATTGCTTTGAAACTCCAAGGATAAATACTTGGGGTGATGGATAACCTATTTGACATCATGTGATTATTACACATTGTATACCTGCATCAAAATATCTCATGTAACCCATATATATACCTACTATGTACTCACAAAAATAAAACATATAAAAATATAATTATAAAATTCAGTATCTATAAAATTAATGCATTTGTTAAAGTTGCCACAAATGATTATATGGAATTTCAGTGCCAGATTCTTCCACATACTTAAAACTGATTTTCATTCACAGAGCAACTGGACTAGGTTTAGTCTAAGCCTTCAGACAAGATATTAATTGATGAGGTATTGACTAATTTCTTTATTGATTCTGAAGCTAACAAGACATAAAGACAGAATGTGAATGATAATATAAATAAAGAGATTGGATGCACCATTACCGAGACAGAAGAATTATAGACCATAGTCTCTTACTCAATCCTCACTCTAGCCAGGACATCCTTAGTTTTTACTTGGACAACTGATAGAACTCTTTACTGATTGTTCTGCTTCTCTCTTGCCCACGTACTGCTTATTGTTCATAAAGCAGCCATGTTATCTTTAAAATCTTAAAAAATATAAGTAGCATGATATCATAACAGTTTATCATCATATCATCATAATGGCTTCCTGTTATATAAAGAACAAAATAAAAAATCTGTGCCATGATGTGCAAGGCACTGTGACATACTCCGATCATAAATACTCATGATCCTCATGATGTACGAGGAATGTCCTGGATTCAGCTCACCTCTTCAACTTCATCTTCTATACTCTCCCACTTGCTCACTTTATTCTTGGTCATTTTTCTCCTCTTTATGCATAAGTTTGTCCCTGCCTCAAGATACCTGTCCTTGCTATTCCGTCTTCCCACAGATCTTCCCATGACTTATTCTATTTTTATGTGGGTCTATGAAGATACTATTTCATCTTAAACTTCTATTTTAGTCACATTAAACAACATTTCAGCTTTTAAAACAATCTTTTTAAAAAACAAATGCCTTTATACTCGATGGAATCAAAAAGTAATTCAAAGTTCTGACAGCATCTTTGAAACACCTGAAGAGTTTAAAACTTACTGATATGTAGGTGCCAAGGACTGAATCTGAATGTATAGAACTGGACCCTAGAAACAAACTCTTTTCAGAGCTTGTGGGGGCCTTTCCCTGCATAACCATGTTTTGAATGACCAGCTCAAGAGCTGAGTCAGAAACTGTAGATTCCAGGGTGCTCAAAACTCAGTTCTTCTCTTCTTCTTTGTTCTTTCTGGCCCTTTGCTTCTCGTCTTCCTTCATTATTCTTTGTCCAGTAGGTTACCTTAATATGAACAGACAGTCACAACTCAACTCAATAAATGTTATAACTGAGATGTAAAATAATTTATGGAGTTTGAAGGGACTCTTCCTTGAAGAGGAGACAAAGAAAATTTTAAGAAAGTATGATTTATCATAGCCTGAAAAAACGACAAGAGTTAGTCAGATAGAGAGGTTGGGAGAAAGAATTCTGAATAGAGAAAACAGTAAGTGGGGAAAAGACAACATCGGAAAATGTAGGCATATTTAAGGAATGGTGAGGAATTCAGTGTGACCTTGCTGTCAAACACATGGAGTCCTGGAAACAAGATCAGAGGTGAACTTGTGATTGACAGCTTCTTTTGCCTAGAATTATTTTCACATCACATTCCTCTTTTCTTAACAAACTCATATTCAGCTCAATCTTATCCTCACCTTCCTCCTCTTGCCAATATCATGGCTTTGCCCATATCTGTGCTCCACTGCCTAACACTTAAGCATTAAATTTCTTTTCTTTAAATGATTCTTCTCATTAACTAGTATTTATTAAATACACACTGTGAGCCAGAATTTGTAAACCAACTCCACCTTGTCATGCTTGATAATGTGTTTGCATTATTTTAAAGTCCTAGATTCTTGAATCTTACACTCATTCACACCTTAAATCTTCGGTAAACTTGCTCACCTTTCAGAAGGGAGGCAGTACTTTCAGGTGTCTGGGATAGAGGGTTGCTGTAGGAAATAAATGCCAGGTAGATAGAATTAGTTAAAGCTCCTGATAGAAGGAGCTTAGAGAAAACAATCTGATTTTTAAAAGGAGAGGCAGTATTAATTTATTTAATTATTTAAATCAGAACTTACCTAGAACACTATATTCTTTCAACCATGTCCTTTTCTTCTGATTACCAGAGCATTGCCATTTGCAAGTCACAACTTAAATCTGCCCGTCTCATGTTACATGGAACACTATCTTTGCTGACCTAGGAAGAAAAAGCCCCTAAGAAGGAGCCCCTTGTCTACCCTGGCTCTCCCTTCTGTGTTTCTTTCCTGAGATCCAGCACACAAGCTTTCTTGTTACAGTGGGCCAAGCCTATCTCATACTACATAATGGAGATTTTTGAAGTCTGTGATTTTATTTTCCAAGTAATCTGGGCACAGCCATGACTCTCCAGAGATCAAGGACAGAGGAACAATGAAAGAAGTGGTTCATTAGAGTAACCCACTGGGCCTCTTACTCAAAGGGCAACATGGTCCCAAGGCAGTTCTCAGAGGAAAAGAAGAAATTTTGTTCTTTTCAGTTTTCATGTAATGATATAATAATGATGTTATGGGACTTTTTTCCATTTGCTCTAAAGTTTGTTAAAGTAAAAAATCTTTGTCAATTTTATATTACAATGATGAAATATCTTACAATACAGTGTATACAAATAAAAGTTTCTTTACTTGAGGTTATATATACTCTCACCTTTACTACATATTTTTATATTTCTTTTCAAAATATTACTGTCATTTTACACACCCATACACTATATGAAATTCCCCACTTCCCACATTCTTGATAGCAATTCTTATGGCTTATTTTTGGTAATCTGATACATGCGAAATGGCATCTCACTATTGCGTGCAATTGTATTTTCCTGCTATCCATATTAGCTAATTAAATGAACTTTCTTTTATGTATTTTTGCCTAATTTCCTTATGTACTGTTACTCTTCTTAGACATTGATTTGAGGTTATTTTTATTGCATGTTTGTATTATAAATACCCTGTCACATATATATTCCACTAATTTTCTTCTAACCTATTTACCTCAAATGCTATTGTTTCATTTTATACAAACATAAATTATAAAAAGGAGTATATCAATTGCTTCATTTGTGATTGCTACATTTTGTCTTAATTTTTCTGTGTTCAATACTCTATTCCTGCAAAATAAGGATTTTTATATAACATAAATATAAAATTAAGAATTTATTTTCAATTCGTCTGGAATTTATGTTTTTATAGCTCATTACATGGTCACATTTCATTACATAATTAAGTATATTAATATCTAACTTCAAATACTGATTAGTACATTCTATCCTTTCTAATTAGTAATGTCATATATGTTAAAAAATTAGGAATCTGTTTCTGGGCTTTTCATTCTTTTTATCCCAGTGTTATTCTAGTAAAAGTTTGACACAAACTTCTACATTTTAAAATAATTTGTAAGTATAATAGGGCAAGGCTCCCCATCTTGTGCTTCAGACTTGGTTATTTTTAGAGTTTTATTTTTTCATATTAATTTTATTATTTGTTGAGTTCTAAAGATTTCCTCTCACTATTTTAATTAGAGTTCTATCTAATGTATAGATTCATTTGAAAAGATTAGATATCTTCATGGTATTGAGTCTTTTATCCAGGTTTATGATGTGGTATTCTCTTTAATTATGCATTTTATATTAATGAAATATTCCATACTTTTTCATAATTTTTGCTTATCTCTTTATTTTGATCTTGTATCTATCAATCTCGTTGAAATCTATATCGACTAACAAACTCTCTGTAGATTCTCTTATACTTTCTATGCAAATTGTAATAGCACTCATGCTTCCTATTTTTTTAAATTATATTTTCTTCTTGTTGCATGGCTGTGACCTTTAGTACAATACTCAATATGGAAGGAGAAGGGGGATTGGGTACTCCTTTTTATTCTTACTTTAGAAGCATTTGAAAATGCTTCTGACTCTTTACAACTTATACATTCTAATTTTTAGTTCACCAATATCTCATCTACTTGTGTCTCATATTTTCTAAAAAAGTAATATAGTTAATGTAAGATTACATACCTATTTTCATTTGGCTTTTGTAGTAACATCACATTATACTTTCATTTTTGCAGTGTCTGATTTGGATCTTTCTAGTGGTTATTGCAAACACCCCAAATTCTTTGTAGAATACAATAACGGCATAGTAAAATAAATTGAGAACACACATTGGTTTCTTTATTAGTCAAACACAAAACCATTAGGGGAGATATATACATGAACATACACGTTCAAAGTATTGGCTTACATAATTGTATAGACTGTCTAGGCAAAGTCCAAAGTTCAGGGAGTAGGCAGTCAGAAAGTAAAGATTGCAAGCATGCTGGAATCTACCCAGGCATGGGATGAGGCTGGTTTCTAGAGGCATGAGCCTTTTTATTTTTTTCCAAGGAAGGTGTAAGCCCTCTTTTAAGGCATTCTAACTGATTAAGTCAGGCCCACCCCAGATAATTCGCCTAATTAAAGCCAACCGATTAGGGTATTCTAGTGCATCTCTGCAATAACTTTACAGCAACACCTGTATTCGTGTTTAAATAACTGAGAGTGGTGTGTGTGCAATACAATGGCTGTTATTTTTCTTCCAACTTAAGTCTCATAAGAGATTATTTCTAGTAGCCCACTTACCTGAAAAGATAGCAGAAAGTGAATTCCAGGAAATACAGTTATGCAAGTTGACATCCTACAGGACTATTATATTCTCCATGGACTGCATTGACCACAAAATTTCACAGAAGTTGTTGAGAGGTAGGCTTGTTTTGTGTGATGAACAAAGAAATTCCCAAAGATTTTTTTCTTCCTTTTTATTTTCATTTCTTTTTAAATTAATTAGATTGGGGTGGGTTGAAAGCTTCTAGAAGGCATCTTTAGCTCTAGAAAGATAAAAATTTTCAGGGCAAGATTCTATGAAAGGAAAGTTGCTGCAAGCCTGTTCTGTTCTAGATTTTAAGAGGACTTATTAATCCACATTGTTTAGTAGAATTCTCGAAGAATGCAGACCATATAGCAGTTTGGAGAGAAAAACCCAATCAAAAAACTTTTTTAAAAATTTGTTTTTTTAGTATAGTGGTTCTGTTGTAGAAATTTGAGCTGAAAGCAGAGACACTGAGAAACATAAGAGAATCTCTTTATTGGAGCTCCAGCTGACGGTGGCCTCACTGCCCGTAAGGGCCGCCAGGCCTGAACAAAGAGAACATATTGCTTTTATACAACTTGAGGCAGGAAAACGAGGCAGGAAAACAAGGCCAGAAACAAGCTTTGGACAAAGACAGTTAATCAAGTTTTGCAATCTTGGGCTTAGTGGTTATTGGACTTTATAACCTTGCAGCTGAGGTAGGAGGTTATAACGTTGAGGAAGACACCCAAGGAGACCAGCAAAACAGGAATTGCAGAAGTGTGTGCAGTCTGCAGACCTAAAGATATGCTCTGGTGCTCTTATCTAAGTAGAGAGGGGGTTGTACTAGGTCTGCTTTACTTCTATCTTCTCTAAATACAGGCCTTGTTAGAACCTGGAATGTGGGCTGTGAGATAAGTTTGCAGCTGCAGTTAGTTGGGCTAAGCTGGGAGGGGTTACTTAGTTTTGCTTACTATGATTTTTCTTAGTGACCTAGTCCTAATGATAACTATTACTTATTCTATTTTAATTCTGTCTCTGATTTTATTTTCCTCCTCATTTCTTTAAAGTATGATCCCTTGACCAACAGCATTCCCTTTAATTGGAAACTTGTTAGTAAAGGAAATTTTGAGGTCTTGCTCCAAACTCACAGAATTAGAAACTCTGGTGATGTGGACTAGCAATCTGTGTTTAACAAGAGCAGTAAATAATTTTAAAGTACAAGAACATTGTCAAACCACTGGCTTCGAGAGTCTCTCAGGAGCTAAGATCAAAGTATGACCACCAGAATACAGATCCAGTCTGGGTGTGGGCACTGTTCCTGGTAAAGACAGATCCCTTTAGATATGGTGTGGCTGGAGGAGAAAATAATCAGGGGAGCTTTTGGAATGATCATAAGGAGACCAACTTAAGTAAAACTGATTAGGAGTCCAACTCTGAAAAAAAAGACTACAGTTCTACATTGACAATTCTCCAAACTCTCCCTGCATAATGTGGGATCCAGATAACGGCAGGAGCTGCTTTTCTGAGAGGATTAAGACACTCATTTGTAACTTGAAAAAGGCCTGGGATGCATGGTGGAATAAATTACAGTAGTGGTAAGGCTGTACCAAATAAATTATTTGAATATTAGAGTACTGGTACCAATGGTAAGTCAGTCATTAGAAAAATTAGGTTGTAGGTTTAATGCAAAGGAACTCTCTAACAATACAGTTTACTGAAATCAGAGCAATGGACAGGTTTTCAACAAAGGCCACCAAAAGATGTAGGTCTGGTAATGCTTCATGCATGTCTTCTCTGGTGTGCTCAGTTCATAAGATAATTATTTTACATGGTAAAAAAATTGCCTTTAAGAAGTCACGTTTGGCCGGGCGCGGTGGCTCAAGCCTGTAATCTCAGCACTTTGGGAGGCCGAGGTGGGTGGATCACGAGGTCAAGAGATCGAGACCATCCTGGTCAACATGGTGAAACCCCATCTCTACTAAAAATACAAAAAATTAGCTGGGCATGGTGGTGCGTGCCTGTAATCCCAGTGACTCAGGAGGCTGAGGCAGGAAAATTGCCTGAACCCAGGAGGCAGAGGTTGCGGTGAGCCGTGATCGCGCCATTGCACTCCAGCCTGGGTAACAAAAGCGAAACTCCCTCTCAAAAAAAAAAAAAAAAAAAAAAAAAAGAAGTCACGTCTCCTAGATATCACATATGGGTACAATATCCTACTGAGTTTCATTACCATCTTGCTGCGTCATTCACAGGTAATATGGAAAAATCAACAGAGCATTTCACAAAGCTGGTCAGCAAGTCTGGGAACATGTGCAGTAAATTCTCTATAATATTAGAGCCTTAAGAAAAAGTAAGCAAAGCAGAATGGCCCAGAGATAATCCTAGAAAAGAGTGGAAGGAAAAGAAATCATGTCCTGGAATCCTTTGGTTGGTGGAGTTGCCTTCAAGTAACCACGGTATTTCTATCCTCAATGACTCTAAAATTTTAGGCACCCTTATGGAAATAATGCCAATACTGGTATGCGGGGAGTTAAAACCAAACCAAAACAACAGGAAAAGAGTTTCTAGGGAACAGACTACAAATACATCTTCCTGAATCTTTAACAAAAGCCTCTAGCATCATCTTTACATTCTGATCTGGACTGCATTCAGAGGAGCAGAGTGTGAATGCACAGTTTCCTAGGGAACATAGAGGCTCCCTAGGTGGCTTTAGCCTTAAACTCAGTGCAAGCCACCACACTCCCAGGGGGCTGTGAAATATATTTCAGATAGTTGAGGGCGAGCAGAGACTTGTAATGTTCTTGCAGTCTTCTGAGGATGCTTCTACGCTGTGGTGCCTTCTCTTTTCTGCTTTCCTGGAATCATGTGAGTTTGGCTAGGAAAAGACTCTGAAAAAGGCATTTCTTAGCCCTCAAGAGAAGTTTTTCTGTGCAAACTGGTTATGGAAAAGTTGCTTGAAAGTATGGAGAATAAGATTTAAAGATCAGGAATGGAAATTATCCTGAGTAACACCTCTGTAGAGTCTGATTTGGAATTTTAGTTAGCAGGCATCCTGAAACAGGAATTATAGTTTGGCATTAGGCTGAGTAGTTGGAAAGGGGAACACAGTGGGGAACTGCCTGGAAAGGAAGAAGCAAGTGATATGTTAACCAGATGGAAGATGTATGAGGCATTGTGAAGAAAGTTTATGGCACTTACTATAATATTCCTGAAATTACTAACAAGAAATCATTTCTCATGGAGCAGGGAAGGGGGAATTTGTGTGCCTAGTGAGATGGACGGACACTATAAAAATGAACACCATGAAACTAGGCAGAGGGAATCAGCAGAAGCTTAGATTTCCTTGAGCTTTCCCCCTCTCGTATTCTGACATCAGGCAGAGGCAGCCCAAGTGTAGCTATGCTCTTGTGCAGACAGGTTTACAGCCTTTGGTTTCCGGTACAGTTTCAGGGCATGGAAAACTTTTTCCAACCCTAGGCCTTCCCCTAGTTGTGATGTTAGAGTTTTTATCTTACTGAAGATATTGGCTTTAATGTCACAATAAGCATCAAGTTTGTGATTAGGTCAGAGGACGAGTTCAAACTGAGGTATGAGTGAGAATGGTCGCAAAAGTTTATCGATGTCACGGAATATTTCATATAAGGAAAGATGTGAGGCCACAGATCTGCAAGTTGGATGGGATAGTGTTGAAGTGAGGGAATGGGTAAGAGCACATGGCTGTGTGAAGGATTGATATGTGCAAAGGTTGGGGGTTCCTCAAATAGAAAAGACTAGAGGAGCCAAGAGGAACTGCCAGTAATGTTCACTCTCATCAATTAAATGAGGAGTGAATCTAATCAAGCAATATGTGGTCATCTGTGCTCAGTTCAATTTCTTCAAGGGAAAAAAGTCATAAAGCATAGAGTCAGATACCCAAAATGCAAAAGGAACCTCAAAAAATGATCAACTTAAGCCTCCTGGCTATGAGTAAGCGAATTTGTAAGAAGACGGAAAACTGTAGGAGAACTGGCATAAACTAAAGAGTTGGGGTGATACAGTGAGCGGGGCCCCTCTACTTCTGTATTCTGAGTTCACGTCCATTATCTGTGTTGAGCCGTCAGTTGAGCAGAGACCACATTCACTGGTAAATCAAATTTATGCCATATAAACCATAGCTGAGTGCATTCGATTTCGCTGAAAGCAATCAGAAAAGCTGTTTTCCAAATGATTGTTACATAGCTCTAGAAGGCACACAGAAAAAAATTATGAAGAACTTGTGTTTATAGTTTATCAACAAGGTTTCCCTATAATGGAGCAAACGAGATTGAATGTAAACTAGTTACTCATATAAACATGTATGTTAAGACAAGATTCTAGCTGGTTAAGAAAATTGTAGTGAAGATTTGGCATTGGATATAAGATATTTTCCTATTAAAATGAAAGTAATGATAATAAATGACACTTGTTCAGCACCTTCTGTTGACCACACATTGTAGTAGGTACCTTTATTTAGATTCTCACCAGCTTGTAAAGTGTTATTTCCTTTTTGCTTATTAGAAAACTGTAAGGTTCTAGAGGAAAATTGACTCATTCAAAGCAACACTGAATATGAGGTAAACACAAAGATTGGTTCTCAGTTTTGTGGGTTCCAATGCCTACATTTATTTTAACCACTACGCTTTGCTGCTTTAAAATCCCCAAGATTTTATACCTCTGAAATAGCCTGCCTCTTCAAAGAATACATGAAGGCAATCATGCGATCTGGCATACATTCTTACCTGAATATTAGGTGGAGGTCTGGAAAGTGCAAACCGTATCAGTAATGGTCACACGTTTGATCAGATCCTGAGTTTCCCCTTAATGTATTTCTCTCTGGGAAAGATAAGCCTCTAGCTGAAATTGATTGGAATCTTATATCTTTGCTGCCTCTGCCTTCCGAAGAATAAGTTCACAGAGCAGTGTATGCAAGACCCATCATGCACACCCCCGTTTTGAGGAGTTTAACCCTCTATTTCCTGGAACTTGTATCATTCATTGACTCTGAGCTGTGATCAGATTAACACTGTCACCAAGCTCCTCTTCTTCAGTTAGTTCCTAAGTCTCTGAAAAGAAAAAAACAATAGTTGATCTTGTTCACCAACATACTTGGGCTTTCTGCTGTGGTTTAGCCTTTTAAATCCATTTACATGCCAAAATAGGAACATCTGTGTGGTTAAAGAATGGAGAGGCCTCTTCAAATGTATGTTCTCAGTGACTAACTATGCAGAGTAGCTGGTCTGTTAAGAAACAGGAGAGTTTAACTCTCCTCCCACCTAACATGTACACACCCAGACAGAGAAGGATATGGCAAAGAGTTGATTCTCCTTTGATAACTATATTCCAACTCCCCACATTTCCTGGCTTCTTTGTATTGATCATCACAGTATCTCCAGCTTTAAAAATAAGGCTAGTTATATGTGAGACAAATGTTAAATATCTGTGGTTGGACACATGGATATAAACTTCCAGGCAGTAAAGTTCTCATATCCATCTTGAAAACTTTTAGCTAAAATGATTTCTCAACTTTTATCCCAATGATTGCTCCTCTGTTTATTCCCATCACCATGAACCCACATACTCTGCATAATTCCTTGTAGCTTAAGTACCACTTGCTGTGGATTGTTTCTCCTTAGGGGCTGGGGTACTGGAAAGGTCAGGTAAATTAGAGAATAGCATACTTTTTTTTTTTTTGTTCTTCCATAAAAAGACATTAGTCATCACTGCCAGGTAAAGTCAAAGTACTCTTGTAAAATCACTTCTTGCCACTGTGGAATGGTAACATTGAGAAGGATTTGACTATGCCCTGTCTTAGAAATCACCAGGTACTGCAGATGGAATGTGAATAAAGGATTGACCAAGAAGTGGGCTGAAAAAGCTTGGAATTTTCAGTTTCAGAAATAGAATGAAGTCCAAAAGAGTTACCTTCCACATTTTGGGGAAAGGATAGCTGAAGTATCTTATAAAATTTCAGAAGAAGATTGAGCGGATATATGTGAAAATATATTTATAGCTTAGTAAAAAGACTGGAAGCAACTAGGGTAATATTAAGTTCAAAAATAATTACTGAGCACAGGGTCCCAAATTAGAACCTATTCCAACTTAAAGGACAAGAAAAAAAAATGTCCAAGATTACCCAGTGTACTGTGTTTGTTGTTTGTGTCACTAAACAGATAGTCACACCTAATCTTTTCTTATACTCCATAAGAGAGGGAGAGAGAGAGAGAGAGAGAGAGAGAGAGTATGTATTCAAGTATATTCCTATAGCCTTGGCTAGAAGAAAATTCTAGTTTGTCTGAAGGCTTATTTGAGCCCTTTCTCACATTCATTGTATTTAATAAGCATTATATATCAGGTATATTCAAAGGTCTTTGGAAATCTTTAGAAATATTTACCCACATAATTCTCTTACCTGTGGGGAATAGATATGATTAGTATTGCTATTTTAGATGAAGCTTTCTAAACGTGATATAGCTAGTAGGTGTTACTGTAGTCTCATTCCTATCTCTCTTCTATCTTGTTCCTCCAGGTAATGTGATACCATGTGGAGGTTTCTGACCATAGAGAATGTCCCACACTTTTGGGCACAACATGGAATCTCCTAATCATACTGACGTCGACCCTTCTGTCTTCTTCCTCCTGGGCATCCCAGGTCTGGAACAATTTCACCTGTGGCTCTCACTCCCCGTATGCTGCTTAGGCACAGCCACAATTGTGGGCAACATAACTATCCTAGTTGTTGTTGCCACTGAACCAGTCTTGCACAAGCCTGTGTATCTTTTTCTGTGCATGCTCTCAACCATAGACTTGGCTGCTTCTGTCTCCACCGTTCCCAAGCTACTGGCCATCCTCTGGTGTGGAGCCGGACATATATCTGCCTCTGGCTGCCTGGCACAGATGTTCTTCATTCATGCCTTCTGCATGATGGAGTCCACTGTGCTGCTGGCCATGGCCTTTGATCGTTACGTGGCCATCTGCCACCCACTCCGCTATGCCACAATCCTCACTGACACCATCATTGCCCGCATAGGGGTGGTAGCTGTGGCGCGAGGGTCCCTGCTCATGCTCCCATGTCCTTTTCTCATTGGGCGTTTAAACTTCTGCCAAAGCCATGTGATCCCACACACATACTGTGAGCACATGGCTGTGGTGAAGCTGGCCTGTGGAGACACCAGGCCTAACTGTGTGTATGGGCTGACAGCTGCACTGTTGGTCATTGGGGTGGACTTGTTCTGCATTGGTCTTTCCTATTCCCTCATTGCACAAGCAGTTTGTCGCCTCTCATCCCATGAAGCTCGGTCCAAGGCCCTAGGGACCTGTGGTTCCCATGTGTGTGTCATCCTCATCTCTTACACACCAGCCCTCTTCTCCTTTTTTACACACCGCTTTGGCCATCATGTTCCACTCCATATTCACATTCTTTTGGCAAATGTTTATCTGCTTTTCCCACCTGCTCTTAACCCTGTGGTATATGGAGTTAAGACCAAAGAGATCCGTGAAAGAGTTATCAGGGTGTTTCAAAGTGGGCAGGGAACCAGCATCAAGGCATCTGAGTGACCCTGGAGTATAGAAGGGACTTAATCCAAAATAAAAGAAACTTTTTAAGATAAAGAATCCTCAGTATGTGAGACCAGAAAGAGCTTTTAAGAGGGGGATAATGTCTTCTGCAGAACCTTCTAGGCCATTTCCAAGAATGATAAATCACAGAGAAGGGCATTCTTTCTTTCCTTTCAGGGAAGTGTAAACAAGGGAAGATTCCTGGAACCTGGGTAACGTGCAGATATTGAAAACAACCCACTATGTTCTGGCGGGTTTCTACCCTGCTGCAGTTTAGAAGAGTCCCTGCATAGCCATAGGATCTCTTCTCACTTCCTGACACTTTCCCAATATTCTAGGCATGGATTTCTAATTTTGTGCCTTATGATACAGCAGCTATCTTACCAGCTGCAAGGATCAGAAGACAAGACAATATAGTCACAGTTAAAGAAGTTAGAGCTGCCAAAGATTTATTGAGCTTTTGCATAAACCCTGTATTTCTCCGCTAGAGCTTCAAACCAAGAGGAGAAAAAAGATCCACCAATATCCACAATATTACTTAGTGGCAGAACAAGTGCTTGAAACTGGAATCCTTTAGTATAAACAATAGGGCTTCTATGAATGAGGGCACAAGAGAGGTTAGAAATAACTCTTCATTTCTAGACATCTTCTATCTATCTCACAGATACACTTCTGTCTCCAGCCTCTTGGGAACCAACCTAAGTCTGGATGATCTTGGATATCATCCCTCACAAGCAGTTTCCAAATATTCTTATACATACATACGATGGGAGGACCTTTCAGAAGCCATTGACTTATCCCTTGAACCTGTAAGAAATGGTCACTTACCCAAACCACTCAGAATGGAAATTCTTAACTACTAAATTATTCATTATGTATGAATTCATCTCTTATGTATGAATTCACCTATTATTCATTATGTATGAATTATTCATTATGTGTGAAACAGGCTACTATACATACTGAGCTTTCTGTCCACTCTCCGGCCCTGTCCATCCCACCAAATAGCTTCAGACGATTTATCAAACACATTCTCTTGACAAATTAGCACTTTCAATTTTGAGTTCGCTAATGGTACACATTTTTTGCTTGTCAACTGTTCAGTATGCCATCCTACCCTGTTAGGTAGAGGGAATATAAAGCTACCTTGTGGAAATTCACAGACACTCCCATCCTTGGCAAGTATCAGTCCTGGGGTTGAAAGCCAATGTCCAGCTCTTCAAAGCTCTCAGGCTCTGTCAGGAATATAAGTGCTTCATTGGGATACTTCAAATATGTTTGGATAAACAGTGTGCAAATAATGAAATTCAATAAAGTAGGCTGAACACTGTCTATTTTTCAAAGAAAAAATAATCATCACTTTTTATAGGGAGAGTACTAGTATATGGGCTGACACTGGTTCTAATTTTTTTATTCTAATCCTCAAATTGAGATATCCTTAATAGATTTTTAAGAATTATATACAATGCCAGATATAATATGCCCCTAAAGTAAAATAAATAAATTATATAAAAAAATAATTATATACAATTCAATTATATAAAAAAAGAATTATATACAATTCTAAACACTACAGTTTATCAACTAAATTACTTTTGTGTTCTTCAAATTAGCAATCTTTCTAACACAGAAACCTACAATCCCAACTCTGTAAGAATCTTATACTATGTCATGGGTTTCTATACTTTGTAGAACGTTTCTAAGGTATATTGTAAGCAATATACTTGTAATCACTGCTTGTTCATAACTTCTCTCTTTAACTTTAATCTCAATGCTAGATGTGTATGTGTTTACCTTTTATGATTTTCAATAATAAGTTTTTATCATGATCAACCCCCTATATACCTCCTGCCACTCATGTTTGTAATATTACATTAATTTCAATTCCATAAAAAATGAAATGACTAGGAGTAAATTATCTCCAATTCTAATCCTCATATAAACTTTTAATATGTATAGCCATTATTTTCTCCCTTTTATTTCCTCCTTTCTTGCTATATTTATTTATTACTAATTTCATTTTCTTCTCAAGAAAGTTTCTTACAATATGCCCTTGAAAGCCCAGACCCTCAGTCACTTCTTGCATTTCTTCAGTTTATAACCTGTTTGAATTTACTGGCACCTTTGCCCCAAAGAAAAATTTTACTTAACCTTAGTGATTTTTTAAAAATGAAAGTTCATGAAACATATTTTTGGAACTAGTTTTTGCTGCATTCTTATGTCCTATCATTTTCTTACATTACAATCTAAGTTCAACCAGAAGTTGATGTTTCCAGAGAAATATCTGTCATCAAAGTCAGCAGTCACCATTTTTAACTGAACTACCTTAAATTGTGTTGTATTGTGACCTACTTCTCCAAAGTCTATCTACTGTGATTTCCATGATCTCACACAATCCCAGCTTTTCTTCCATGTTTCTAATGTTTTTCATCCTCTTCTCCTTATTTTATTTTTAATGAACCTGACTTAAATGTTGATGTTTCGCAGAGATTCATCTTTGACTAATTTCTCATTCATTCCAATCTAAGTCCATAGCAATGGGGGCTATGAAAGGAAGAGCTGAAAACCCAGAAGTGTCAAGGCAGAGGTCTTCCTGCAGGAGAAAGCACCTACATATCTATTTGGAAAACTCTGGGCTCCTTATTGCACTAGGAAACTTCTTTTGCCCTTTCATTTCTTTAAATTATGACTGATGGCATGCTTAACTAATTCCTTCCCACTGTCATTATCTCTTGATTCTGATGATATTATCTTGAACTCAACTTGATTATAAGGAGACTTCAGATTATGTTAGTATTTAGAATCTATTCCTTGTAAGATTAAGTAGTGGGTAATTGTTTTTGTGTGTATAATACTACTTAGCATCATTTTTTCCCCGGCTTTTTCTTGGTTTGGTACGACTGGGTATTGGACTCCAAGGATGGTACATAGCCTAGTGGGTAGGGGCAAGCAACAGAGCTCACCCTACTGACGTGATTTAACACAGGAATAAATCCATGACTTAAGTTGGTGGCCTGTGTGTCTGCTCTTATATTAGAAATATTGAGAAACAGGCATATTTCTCATTGGTGTTGCTTAGCTGGTAGAAAGTAAATCTGGAAATGTCAGTTGCCTTTTAGCAATCATTTAAAAAGAATCTGTCTGTGGGCAAATACAGAATAAAGCAGAAACAAATAATGTAAAAATATAATAGCTAATAATATTATTTGAACACCTGGAGTCAGCAGTGATTAAAGATGTTTCTACTGCGATGTACTTTATTTAACAGAACATTTAAATTTATATTCTTGCTTGAAGTATTTTGAGTTAGACTTTAACATTAGGTTGGTGCAAAGGTAATTGCAGTTTTTGGCATTTAAAAGTAATGGCAAAAACCGTAATTACTTTTGCACCAACCTTAACATATCCCCGGAGAATAGGAACTCTTGAGCCCATCACTCAATCAAGAGCTCAGCCACAGGAGCAGAAACAGACCCAGACTCTCTCTCCCATTCTTTGAGGGACAGCAGATAAAAATTGTATTGATACAAGTCTATTAATTTCCAAATGTCTCACAGAACTCACAACTGCCTTCAGATTCCATTTTATACAGTAGGCCCTAAGCAAGAGTAAATAAATGAAAAAAAAGACTGATTAATAGAAAGTCTCCAAACTGAAGCACTGAATTAAAAAGTAATGAAAGAAACAGAACATGAAGCATGAAATACTTGTAGGACAGAGACAAGAATATTTGCATACAGGTAGTTGGGTTTTTGGAAGGAAATGAGAGGAAAAATTAGGCAGAAATACATATTTTAAGAGATGATGACAAAGAAAATTCTGAAACTAATAAAACACCTTAATTCATAGTTGTAAGTAGTTTAGCAAACTTTAGTGGATTAAAGACAAATAAAATCCACGTTAAACACACTAGAGTTGAATTAGAGACATTTTATTGAATTGCTGAAAGTCAAAGGCAAATAAAAAAATGTTTAAAGCAGTCAGGAAATGTGCATTAGATTTTCAAATGAATTAACTTGAGACTAACGGTTAATTTAGCAACACAAATGATTAAAACATGTCACTGTTTTTTAACTTCCGAGTGGTGAAAAAAATAACTTTCAACTATAAAGCTATAGCTAGGAAACGCACACTTTAATCACGAAGGTGAATTGAAGACAAATGAACAGTCAAAGGCTTGATCATAGAGGGTACACTTTAGGAAAAAAAGGCAATCGCTATATGCCTGATAGCTGACGGAAGGGTGAAGGCAGCAAACCACCATGGCATGTGTGAACCTATGCAACAATCCTGCAAGATCTGCACATGTACCCAGAACTTAAAGTGTACCTTACACTTAAAAAAAAAAAAAGAGAAAGAAAAAAGGAAAATAATACTCCATTCTTTTTAAAAAATACTTATTAGAAAATTTAAAATGTACACATTCAGTCATCAAAAAAAGGAATAATAGAAATTGTAAAAAAAAGTTAAGCTAAAGAAGCTCATATGTTCTGCTTATCAAAGCACATGGGATATTGCTAAAATGTATAATTTACAGTATATTCTAGGAAAAAAGAAAGCATGACAAATGAACATGTGCCCATTTGAGGAGGTCAGGAAAAAAGGATATTGCTTCCAGAGATAAGAGGATAAAGAAAATAATAAATTTAAATTCATGTATAGATTTTTTTAATATTTGAAAGTATTTACTCTATTTTTCTCTTATTTCTCTCCTCTTCTCTCTTGAACCCATTTCAAACAGGTTATCACCTCCTCACACTATGCAAACCACTCTTACTAAGATCACCAGCGATCTCCTTAATCCAATGATAATTTTTTAATCTTCATTGAACTTTGGCCGTTGGTGATTTTGACACAGATGATTACTCTCTCCTCCATGAAATTCTTTCTGTACCTGCCTTTCAGCGCAGCTGAATATTCCTTCTCAGTGTTTGATGGGGCTTACTATTATCTCCTAGCTCTTTCAATAGTAGACAGACTTTACTCAGTACTCATACTTTAAACTGCTGCTTTATCTATACTCACTTATTTGGTTTTTAAAAGCCCCATATTTTTAAATGTCATCTATATGTTGATGACTCACAAATACATGTCT